CCAACAATGGCTCAAGAATATATGTTAAAGTACCTTCAAACTCGCGTTCAATAGCTTCAAGCATAATTTTTCTCCTTGCAACTGTAACAAAATATGGAAACAGAGCTGCTTCAGGATACATTAGAAAAAAATAAGCAAAAAGAAAAAGGAATACGGGGAAGAAGTTTTACCGTGTTCATCATCATCCTTGTCGCCGGTTGAATCATTAGCCTTTAGCTCTTCAAGACCTTTTGTAGCAGCTGCAAGTAAAAAAATAAAACAGAAGAAACTTATGTACTTGACCTGTTTTAATGAATTTTACATTTCAGCTAAGAAGTTCAATGTTATGTAAAAGTAACCTTCAAACTCGCGTTCGATAGCTTCAAGCATACTATGTCTCTTTGCAGCTGTATCAAAACAAGAAACCATTCTTCAAAATACTACTATGGAAGATGAAAAAGTGATCAGAAAAAGTAGAGAGGACAAGTTATTACATTGTTCACTATCATCCCCTTCAGTGAAATCGTCAAGATTTAGTTGCTTAAGACTATTTGTAGCAGCTGCAAATTAGTTTGATAAAAACAGAGGAAATGATTCAAGATTTGGGAACCATAGGAACTAATTAACATCAATAATAATCTGTCGAAAGTACCTTCAAATTCACGTTCAATCTCATCCAACATACTTTGCCTCTTTGCAGCTGATAACAAAGACATAAAGATCTCTCTGAGAATAACACTACAAGAAAGGTAAATGAACCAAAAAAATGTTTAATGGAAAAAAATTTCTTACATTGGTCGTCTCCTTCATCTTTGTTATCGGCGATATCTTCAAGTTGTTTAAAACTCTCAGTAACGGCTGCAAGAGAGAAAACAAACTCTAAGAACTTGAACCATTAAAGATTTAAAGATTCTCTCTGCATATGATGATTGGTATGTCGATTTTACCTTCAAACTCACGTTCGATGGCATCTAGCATACTTTGTCTTTTGGCATCTGTAAATAAAGCATAACATCTAACTATCTCAGAAAACTAAATGTGAGACAAAAGTTATCAAAGTAGAGAAAACAATATCTTGCCTTGTTCTTTATCAGCCACATCATCTTTGACAGTGAAAGCATTAATCTTTAGCTCTTTAAGACCACTTGTAGCAGCTGCAAGTAGAAGATGAAACATAATCATAAATCTAATAAGTCTCAGCGTACACAAAATATTGTGAATCAATTAAGACAGATATTGAGTATACGTCAAAATACCTTCAAACTCGCGTTCAATCTCATCTAACATACTCTGTCTCTTTGCAGCTATAACAAGACATCAGATTTGTGTTATGACTACTGTAAATGAAACTAAAATATCATTCAAATATATGGAAACAAATATTACAGTGTGCTTCATCATCTGTGCTTGAGGTAGAATGCCTTAGTTCTTCAAGACCTTTTGTAGCTTCTGCAAACAGAGGAATTACAGAGTCTAAGATAGTTCTCAAGAAGATATTTCCTTAAAGACATATTGGTTATACGTTTCAAGATACCTTCAAACTCTCTTTCGATCTCTTCAAGCATCTTTTGTCTCTTTGCAGCTATACCAAACACACAAAATCTGACTCAAGAATACTTTAAATAAAGACAAGGCATCAAACAAAGTAAGAACGGGAGAGTTTATTTACCGTGTTCTTCATCGTTGACTCCGGTTAAATCATCAGCCTTTAGTTGTTCAAGACCTTTTGTAGCAGCTGCAAGTATGAAATGGAACAGAAGACACAACCCAATTGTTAGTTTAACTTTTCGGGTTCAAGAACTTAAGTAAACAGATAAATATTTATGTAAATATACCTTCAAAATCACGTTCAATCTCGTCCAACATGCTTTGTCTCTTTGCAGCTGTAACAAAAAGAACAGAGAACTTGGACTTAGAATATTGACGAAGAACCAAAATGTGATCCTAACAAGTACTAGACAAAAGAGTGTTTAGTTACATTGCTCATCATCTAATCCTTGGGTGGAATCATCAGTCTTTAGTTGCTCAAATCCAGCATGAGCAGCTGCAAGTAAGTCTTTGTAAGTAAGACTCTATCAACAATAGTGATTTCAAAAACTTAAACTTCAAGATAGACAGAAACATCGAAAGGTACCTTCAAACTCGCGTTCAATGGCTTCCAACATTTTATGTCTCCTAGCAGCTGAAACAACAAAGACAGTATAAGAGCAGTCTCTAAGCAAAAGGGATCTGATCAAAGAGGAAGAATTTTAATTGTTTAACCTTCTTCATCCTCCTTAGACTCTTCAACTTTGTTGATACCATCAGATCCAGCTTCTTTAAGTTCATTGACATGTGCTATAATCAAGAAACACAAACAAAAAACAAAACAAACTCTTCATGTCAATATTTTGATCCAAGCTTCTTCCATAGACATAATCAATTATGAGACTTTCCAGCAAACAGAGCAAATACAGAGTAAAGGTCTTGACTTACCTTCGAACTCAAGTTCGATATGGTCCAACATACTCGAACTTTTATCGGCTTCATCAGTAACAGCTCCTAACTATAGATCCAAAGTAAAATAAACAAGAGATTAGTCATCCTAAACCAAAATCCAATCCAATAAAGTAAATTCATAAACAGGAATTAACCTGAGCTGATGTATCAACAGATTCTTTAAGAGTTTCCACTGGTTCTTCAGATAGAGACAAAGAAATAGTGTTGTTATCAGACTGTGTACTATTTTTCTGACCACTGGTCTCAGCTGATTCCATACACAACACATAGACTATATTAAATAACAAATTGTAGAAGAAGAAAAGAAACAAGATAGAGAGAGTGAGAGAGAAAGGTCTTACTTTGATCTACTGCTTCATTGCCTTGGAGAGAATTGACACTAGCTGCAACCAAAAAATCATTTCATGATTATTTTAAGAAAAATTGTGTTTTCATTGAAGATTATTCAGATAAATATGTCTTAAGACTCACTTTGATATTCATGCTCGATTAGATCTAAAGTACTCAAACTTCCAGTTCCTTCATCCTAAAACCAAAAGTCAAATGCGTTTTGAGTATCAATATTTCGTTTATTGTAAAAGAAAAAGTAATTTGTGTATTACCTGGCAAGAAACTTGATAGAAGCTTGAGAGAACAAGACACAGAGACAAAACCAGAGCTAAGAACTTCGTTCCCATGGTGGAAGATTGTTATCACAAAGATCAAAATACACTGTGTTGTGAAGCTTTTGGAAACATCATAACAAGCCTTTAAATAAATAACTCAACGTGGCTTTTTTATTTAATAATAGAAATTCACGTGGCTTTTATTTTTATATATATTCCACGTTCCTAATTACAAAGAATTTAACGATTTTTTTTTCTTTTTTTCTTCAGTAGTTTCTGAAGAAATTATGATTGAAACGCCAATAAATTATGATTATCCCACAATTGATAACAATTTTTTTTTTAATATCTTGACCAAAAAAATTAAGAAAAGCGAAAAATTGAAATATATCTATAACGGGATCCACTAATGCTGATAAATCACTATTAATCAGTTTAACTTACTACAATGTTATGAAATATAAAAATAGTCATTAGAGTCTAATTAGCTCCATAGTCCACGTATTGTGAACTTCTTTGCTGATTTAATAAATAATGCGATGGGCATTACTACCAAATCGTATCCGTTACACTATAAGATAATATTAGCGTGCAACATGAGAAAATTAAATAAATATATATGATTGTACTTGTACAGAAACTGACAACCACATGTTTCACCCAAAAACTCAATGATCGACTATAATTTGGGGCAATAAATTCAAAATCAGACTTTTAGATCTCAAGACGTTGACTATAATTTCTATTTAACTTTTAACCAATCCACCTTTTTCGAATACTAAAAATATGAAAATTCTTCTAAATTACTAAACCTCAAGTCCTCAACCCCATCGGTGTATACGAAACTCAACGGGGAAATAAACAAACATATCGTAATAACATGTCTCTAAATATTATATTATAACGTAACGTCTCTAAAAATAATTGGTAGACGACAGCTTCACGATAGACGAGCCAGATTCGATTCGATCCGATTAGAGAATTAAAATATTGAGAAGAGCCACATACATTGACATTATTTATCCGGAAGTAACGCGACCAAGCTGTCCATGTACCATCCATTTCGTTGCTCTTCTCTTTTCCTAAAACGTGCTACATAGAGGGACAATAAAACAAAACTGATTTCAAGAAAATAACTACAACAAAAAAAACTATTATAGTCATGTACGTATCAGTGCTAAAATTGGAATCTCTTAAACAAATCAACACTGTAATTAAAACCTAAATCATCTCTCTTCAGTCCCCTCTACGTAACAGTTTTACTTACACACTGACATGTACGTAAATAACATTAATACCAGTCAGGCTGGCATTTATATAAAACAAGTGAAGGCCGAGTTTTAGGCTTAGATATATCATAAAGAGCAAATAATGTCTAGTGTCATATTTCATTAGTGCTTTGGGCCACATAATGAAAATTGAGTGATTTCTTCTTCTTTAATTTGTGAATTTATATTTCATATTTAAACAAACCAAAAAACAAACCATGACAGAAAGATATATGTGGAGAAATATTGAACTTAAGAGAAGTTATATATATATTTGAATATAGTATACAGACTCTAATATATTGACCGAGAACGTTGATCTTCGCAAGATAGTTTCGTGGAAATTTGGTCACCAAAACCAAATCACGGTAACTATCAATGTTTGTCTTAAATTGGAATTTTAATGTATGGTTCCGATTAGGAACAATCCGTTGAACCGACCTTAAGAGAAATGGTCTTCACTCTCAAAATACTTGTGAATTGTTGTTTATATAGAAACCAGATTCTATACAGATGTTGCGTTTGCGACAAGATTGTCTGGCCTTGAATGAGTTTTTTTTTGTAGTGGATTGGCTACTGATTAAGCCGAATGTGTATGACTATGAATGTAATTGATGTTGAGTTATATAAAAAGATTATGTTTAAAAACAGTAACATGGAATGTTCATTCATAAGAGATCCATAAGGAGTTCAAGTGGTCTATATTATCTCTCTATTCTCTCTGCCAAATTTGAACTTTAAACAACATAGACAAGAACACAAGGAAACTAGACGATGAATTGTTTCTAAGTTTTTTTACCTTCAAGCGTCTTCAGCACTCGGTGAGTTCTCAGGTGTCTTCAATGGAGCTGCTGCTTCTGCAACGGCGGGCTTACTGTCTTTATGTGCTTCGATAACTGCTCGGAACTCTTCTACAACCGCTGGATCCTTGAACTTGAGTGCAAATGTAGAGAGACCATCCTTGGCTTCACTTACACTATTCACACAAGCAAATGTGATTCCTTTCTTGTCCATGTTAGCCAGTTTCATTTCCGGGTAAAGACTTGCGTTTAAGATCAACCTGTAGTTTCCTTTTGATCTCATTACTAACCTGGCTTTTCTGTTTTCAGTCGTTGATATATTTACCTTGAGTTCTCCTTTCCCACGCTCTTTCCATCCTCCCTCAAGATATTCAAACATTATTGAATCAGCTGTGAAGGCCGCTTTTTCGTTCTCTTCTCCTGTTTCCACTGAAACATCTTGCTTTGATGGGAAGGCAGTAGTAGTTTCCGTGCTCTTCGTGGTAATGGAAGTAGAAACGGATGCACCAAACAAGGAAGAGTTTCCATTGTTTGGCAGGCCAAAGCTAAAGGATGACTGTTCAGTCAGAGACCCGGTCGAACCTTCCTGTGGAACCAAACCGAACGAGAACGAAGAAGCAGAGAAACCTGTACTAGCAAGTCCTGTGAATGCGTTTTTGCTACTCGAGTGCTGGTGGAAGGAGCTCAAGGCTCCACTATCTCCATTTTTCTCTGTGTCTTCATTTCCATCGCCCTCTTTTCCTTCTTCCTCAGTCTGATTACCACCTGAATCCTTGACAACACAGTCAGTTCCCTCAACAGTGTTGCCATTGTCGTTGTCATCTTTAGATTTATCAGTCTCTTCCCCAGCAGCAGCTTCAATTACTGTCGTTGTATTAATCTCTTCTTCATTCTTGTTTCCAGCTCCACCACCGTCTCCAGTATTAACTGCCTCAGTCTTCTCTTTCTCGCCACCATCAATAACATCCTTGGTCTTATCAGATATTCCATCATCCTGTGTCTCTTGTTTTCCGAGAGCATCAATTGCGTCACTCTCTTCTTTCTTGTCACCATCAGTTTCCTTGGTAGCATCAGATCTTCCATCATCCAGTGTCTCTTGTTTTCCCTCAGACGGAGTTGAATATGACCCGGACAGAGGCTTAGTAGTTTCTGCAGCGAGAACAGTAAGAGGGACCAAACGAATTCCAGCAAATGGATTGGAAGCTGGTGCTGGTGCTGCTGCAGCAGATGGATCTCTGCGCTTAACTCTGACAATTCTTCTGCTTGCCAACACCTCCTCACTAGCAGTCTTGAAGGTACCACTCTCGAGTGCAGAAGTGTCTTCATCATCATCTAGACCAGGATTGTCACGAGACAGTTCTTTCAGAGCAGCTCTCTTTTTGGAAAATGGTATAGCATTATCTGAGTCCCCCATTGTAATCTTAAAAGAACCTCAACAGTTACAGGCAAGCTAGAGTCCCTACAACACCATGCAAAAAAAAAAAAGTTCCATCAAGATTTTATCCCCAATTGTGTTAACAACCAAACAACCAGAACCAATCTAAGGGATAAGGAGGTCCCGAGTTCATATGTCGAAAACATAGTTCTAATAACTTCTAAACCCTTCCACATGCATAAGCACTATCCATATAGGAAGAAGACGCCTAATTCGTAAGCAATCAGAGACAAGCCATAGACAATGTGTGATACTAAATCAAGGAAACCTAAGTTAACATGCGACTGCAAAAGAAATTGATAATGAACACATCGAAAGGAGAACAAAAACTAGAGGCAAGAACATGTAACCAAAGCGTATATATATATGAGTACACGATAAAACACCACGCGATTACAAATCATACGATAGAGCAAAAGAAACCCCAAGCTAAATCAGCAAACACGAAGCAGGAATCTGAAGAAACAGGAGCTAATTCCAGAAACGTACACAACGATAATCTAGCACCAGAACTATGAAAAACCCTAAGAACCCGAGCAGCGAGCAGTGAGAATAGTATATACAAGAAAAGGGGAATAGAAAAATCCAGATTCGGCCAACGAGACCAGCGAGAAAGTGAAGACTCGGAGAACTTACGGACAAGCAAGCAAGATGCAGCAGAAAAAAACCCTGCCGGAGCTATAAGAGAGATCGCCGATGAGAGTAATTAAGAGAAAACAAAAAAAGAAACGAATCTGAAATTTCGAAAGCGTCGATTGGAAAAGAAAATGGACAAATAAATTGAAGGCCGCAATTTTAAATTATTTTCAGAAATAGTAATAAATCGATTTAGTTTTTCTTTAATCATATTTATCCAAAACGATCTTATTGTTCATGTCTTTTTCTCAACCATAGTATGTTAATAAGATGATGTAAAATACTTCTGGCGAATATAGGGACCTTATTTAAACTAATTTATTCAAATAAGAGTGGAAATTAAAGGGTAGCAAGTACTACTATTAAAAAAAAAAAAAAATGGTAGCAAGTGATAAAGGCTTACAAAGAATTATATATGCACCAGAAATTTGTAAACATGAGCTGAAATCTACAGCAGAAAATTTGTAAAACAATCTACTTTGTTTTTATGATATACTCTTTAAGATGAAAACCACAATCATTAGATGAAAACCACAACACCAAATTCCTTAATCCACCAATCCCATCTTCTTCTTTATACTCTCCTTCCACCAAGAATCGATTCCTGCAACAAAATGGATCCACATATATGATTGAAGTTCATTCATGCTCTGGTTTCATAGAGGTTTTATCTAATGACCAAGGATGATAGATCTTTACCTTAAAGTATCAGTGCCGGCTACTGGATCTAGCTAGGATGCGGCGTAAGCACTGCAAAACAAAACAAAAGGAAAACGATAAGTTCACTTTGCAAAGATGGAGAGGAGTTGAGAGACAAATAAATCTCCAAGTCTTAGCCACATAGATGCAGAGATATAACAAAGTTAAACTCGTATAACAACTAAACCCATATTTATGCAAACTCAAAGATGTTACTAAGGGTAATGAGACATATAATCATATAGAAGTGGCAATTGTTTTTTTTTTTTTTTCCTTTTGGGGAGAGGTTTCAATTTAATCACCAGAGACAAAATTTCGACTTTTCAACATTGATCCTGGACTGACTTGCTTATTAGGCTGATGGGTTTCCTTTGTTATTCGTACCCCACTCTTCCTCACCCTCACTTCCATTAACAAGTACAGCACCGTCCGTAGAGTCTGCATCCACTACTCCCTCTTCTTCATTCACTTCTTCTTCCTCTTGTTCCTCTTCATCTCCTTCATTCTCTACATGACCGTTTTCTTCTACTACCTACACAATGTTCAAAAAACAATTAAGTAACTACTCCTGTGGAAAATAGAGCTCTTTGCTGCTTAGCAAAATATTCAAACGAACCAGTTCCAAAAGAAGTTACCTCGTGATCGATGACTCCATTTTCAAGTGATTCCTCTGCTTCAACTTGCAGGTTTCTAAAGGCTTCCACGAGGGTAATGGAAGATTTATCGGCATGCGATGGATAATTTTCTGCAGCAGTATAAACTCCCCTGTAGATAAAACAAGAGTCAATTTCTTGGGTTGGCCTAAATAATGACACTATGGGTATGCACCATCAACATCTCAATGCATAATCATGGGAAATAATGAGTAGCTCAAGGATGAAGTTTTCCTACGGGCATCCATCCCATCTGTACAATCATATCTAGGAACATTTACAATTACTGAACTACAGTTTGAAGCCGCAAAGACCGTGGAAGAAAATGAAGTGTTCGGATACCTTGTCTCTGCAGTGTTCGCTTCAACAGAAAGAGCAACTTGCCAATCCTCAAAAAGATTTGGGTACTCTTCAGGATCAGCTAAAGATTCTGCTGCTTTTGAATTAACCTGATGACAAGTCAAAGGCAATTTAAAGCCACATGATATATTTTCTAACTGACACAGTAAACAAAAAATGATGAGGAAATAACCTTGCTGAGATCTTCCCTCCAAAGAGCTACTATCTCCGAAACTTTGCTCGGAAGATAAGAACGGGCCATCAGAGCAGCTTCAGGTATCCGGTTACTGTCAAAATAAAATTCTCGTCACGGAGATAACAAAAGGCACAGATTTGATTTTCCAAACGGCCAAGCGAACACTAATGAATACCTCTCCACCAATAACTGCAGACAATCTTCCAATCTACCCAGCGTAAATAAGCAAAGAAAGGCAACATTGTTCTTCCCCTGTTCCTTAGCAAGGGATGCAAGTTTTGACACCCCTTCAGCATCTCCTAAAGAAGAATATAGTAGTAACAAACCACTCAAATCCATAGCGTACTTCATGCAATCCTCGGCCAATTGCAGCTATCATGATGGAACACACACAAATGCAAGAGAATCAATTAGTTAGTAGACATCCGCAAAGGCTAGAGAAGAAAGCTTATTGGCATTGTAAGATCTAAATATACCAATTTGCTCCTATAAATACAATGCAAAGTAGTAAAGGGACTGATATAGCATTTGCAAAGAAAGTTATTTTATTATTTTACACTACAAATCATTGAGGTAACATTTTTTTATAGAGAAGATGTACCTTCCCAGAGGACATGGCTAACTCTCCTAACTGCTTCCATTTAGACTCGCTCTGTACTTCTTCAGCAATTTCCTACAAGCATGGAAAACACAGATAAGAACAAACATTCTACTTCCAAAAAGAGTAAAGTAACGTCTAAGGAATTAAGCATCACATATATATTACCTTTGCAATTTCAAGTCTACCCAGTTGTATGGCCAGATCAAATTTGTAGTCTAGATCTGTCGCAATTTCTAAAGCATCTTCAATCATTCCCCGAGATTCCAAGAAATGAGCAACACTGAATATTAAAAACATTTTCAGATCAAACTAAAAGAGGTACACACAAAATAGTGAAAAACCAATTGGTAGGAGGGCATTTGTGTAAAATATCAAGCTGTAGATCCTCACAAACATCTCGAACAGAACATATCCACAATATTCTTCAAAAGTACATTACATAGGACATAGCAGGCACCAGGAGATAAAGTGCAGTAGTAAAGAATGGATTATATGTGAACGTAAAATTTAGACCAAAATAACCTATAACATACTTGTTATGCTGCTCTTTAGGAATTGTAGGTAAAATTTGATTGGCTCTATCCAAATCGCCTCGCATCACAAGAGTCTTGTATTCAATCAGGCTAAGCAGCAGGCTATATCCTATGACACTGCATTCCCAAGAAAAGGTGAAATATGTCAGCAAATTCTGTATGCAAGATAAAACAGTCTCAAATAAAACATAAATAAAGGAACGTACTTGAATTCTTTATCTACCAAGTACACCCGGCTTTGGTTGGCAATATAGCCTAACAAATACATTGGGCGGTCCAAATGATACATTGTGGTTACCTGCCGCAAGTATATTAGCAGCTAAGATCTAATGTAGCTCATAAAGATGATTAGAAATAAAAAATACACTCTTGAGTACCTCGCCTCCAACACAATAGTTAAGCTTCCAAGAAGAGTTGTTGTAAATGAAGCAGTCCCCAACCCATATACCTGTCCTAACACGTTCATCATTCTCGTGGAGAACCTCAAAAGCATCCTCAACACCTTCTTCATCAGTTGGTCTTCCACTATCAAAATGTGAGGAAACCAAGTCGCGCTGTAACAGCGAGGAACACGAGAGTAAGCTTTTGGACAATCCACGAAAGTGGAAATGAAAATAATAGCTGGAAAATTGAGGTTGAACAGATTCTCACATTGTACTTCAAGATGTAGAATGACGTATCACTAGCAATGGCTACTAAATCACCACTTTCAGCCCAATAAAGATTCTGCATATTTTTCATGGGAACACTAAAGAGTTAGTAAAGACGTGAACCGGGACAACTTTCAACTGAAAAAAAAATGTAAAGACAGAACTGGAAAAAAGTAATGAATGCTAACTTCTTACAACAGATACAAGTTAACTGGATACCTTTACGGTGACATCAATTTGTTGAATCAGCCTGCATTCAGCCCAATCATAGAAGCAGATGAAATCATTCGAACACATTGCTAACAAGGTTCCTCCAAAAATCTTCTCAGCTGAGAAAGTAGGCCGGATACTCTTCCTTTCCTGAAAAGACCACCTTTTATTAATACACCATACCCAGTAATAGCTACTCTATTGCAAGCATCTGCAATTTCTTCAACCCTAGAATCACACTCTTAACAAAATTGTATGAGTAAGGCCACAATGAGAATAGCAAACCTGGAAATTTTTACTGAATATCTTTATCTTTGATGAGCTTTCTCTAACCGCACATTCCCCCTCGGATGACCAAACAAATTCCAGGCCAGACCCAAAAGATCTATTTCTCCAAGCCAAAGCTGTGTAGATTATGTACTCTCCATCACCGCAGACTACGACAAACCTCCCATTAGGGTTGTGCTTCAAGCTCTGAGAGTTAGAATAGCTAGATGTGAGATGAGATGATTATTCTGGACCACACTCTTGGGACTTTTTTATCATCTATTAAAGCTTCATTTCAAATATAATATTGTTTTAAAGAACCATAAGACCGCAGATTTAGCTGAAGCATGGCTCTAGTGATACCCACAACAACTTCATCGCACATGTTCATCACACCCCTTTAAGAGGGACATGCACCGAAAATGTTTACCCCAAAAGATCCTATGATAATACAACACAACAGGAAAGTTTGAAAGGTGCTGGATAGTAACGCTCACTTGTGGATAAAGATCACAGGTCCCCAACTCTTTAACAGACAAGGGAAGTCTTTCTCCATCAGTAACCTAAGGTAGAGAGATGAAAGCTTAAATCATCAGGCAGTACAAATAAATAGCTGAGTGCCAGGATACAAGAGTTACAATTAGGAGCTAGACCTCGTAACCCGCACCAATACTTTTGATGTTTGCAGTTTGAATTTCATTATGCTTAGCCCATATGATTTTTCCGCTACTGTCCATGCTAGCGACAGGAATTTCTCGTCCAAGTTTAACCATGATGGTTCCTTCATCATATCCAATCACAACCCTGAAAAGCAAACACATTCGTTGTTGATAGTCCTGTATGATCAGTTGAATAAGGTGCTAACACTGATCCCTCAAAAGCTC